GCCGGCACACACTTCACAGGCCAGACGCCACTTTTTTTTCCTCCATGCTTGACAGGATGGCCGCCCTTCTCCCAAATCAGCCTTAACCCCAAACCCTGGACTCCCTCACTCATCCTTAATCCATCACTTGACCCCCACACCCCCCGGCTTCTTCCTCCGTGCCTCCGGTGAGCTGATTAACTCACTCGCTCCTTCAACTGATGCCACATTTGATTCCTCACCCCCTCCCCTCCCCCACTTCCCCCCAACAACAAATTCTGTATTTAAACTACTGTTTTCAACCACCAGAAGCAAAGAAATGCTACTTCCTGTGAGATTGTAGTCAGGATAGGGATGTGACGTATCGGTATCCTTTTATTGTCATCAATAGCTCAATGCAAATGTCGATGATTTATTTGCGTTATTCGTTCATCCGTCCTTCCATTTTGCTCATTAAGGCTGTGAATGAACTGAAGCCTATCACAGCTGAATTTGGGCAAGTGCACCCCGGACTGCTCGCCCGTTCATCACATGGTACATATAGTAAATTATCCACTGGAACTACTTTAGAAAATAAAACCAAAAGTTCACTTGTTTTACTTTAAAATATGTTCACATGTCTAATTAACTTTTTTTGTTTATTCTGTGACAACCGTGGCGTTTACACGTCCAGTGTGGCGTCCAGTTTAATTGGTAGCGATCGTACAATAAAATTGATGCATTATTTTTATTGGGTATTCTTGTGTGTGAGTCAGCAGGATTCAAAAGATGCGCAGTGCAGCTGCGGGCATTTCGTATTTTGGCGAAACGGACAGTTAATAACTTGTGGCGATGCTTGAATGGAATAAGCGCGCATGACAGCCATTGTTTCACCATTCTGAAGTAAATTTACTCTGTATAATTGGTCATGGGCGGCCCGGTGGACCAGTGGTTAGCGCGTCAACCTCACAGTGCAGAGGTACCGGGTTCAATTCCAGCTCCGGGCTTCCTGTATGGAGTTTGCATGTTTTCCCCGGGGCTGTGTGGGTTTTCTCCGGGTACTCCGGTTTCCTCCCACATTCCAAAAACATGCATGGCAGGCTGATTGAACACTCCAAATTGTCCCCTATAGGTGTGACTGTGAGTGCGAATGGTTGTTCGTTTCTGTGTGCCCTGTGATTGGCTGGCAACCGGTTCAGGGTGTCCCCCGCCTACTGCCCAAAGACAGCTGGGATAGGCTCCAGCACCCCCCCACCCCCGCGACCCTTGTGAGAATAAAGCGGTTCGCAAAATGAATGAATGAATGATTGGTCATTCATACCAGTTTTTGTAATGAATATCTTTGTAGACAGGCAGTGAAGCTGTTGAAGTGAGAAAATAATGAATTTCCAAATAATTCGGGACTTGAGTGCTCAGGGTTTCATGTCCGTGTAACAACCGTAACACCGAGTAAACCACGACGTTCAAAAATCTCCTGCAAACCTTTACGGCTGAGTCAACTATATTTATTCATAGCACACTGCAGGAAGGTTTGATTTGAAAGCATATATCATTTTTAACTAGTTCAAGTTTTGGACTCACATGTCACACTCCTTGGGCCATGTTTTCTACCAGTAGTGCGAATAAATAGAAAATTAAAGTGCATGTTGTTCTCCATATTGGCCTCTCGGCTGAAACCGGAATCAGACAGCACATTGCGAGCACAATTACACAGACACAACCCGCTGTGCCTTCGCGGCTGAAGCTATATTGCCTCTAAACCCGCTTTCAAAGCACACAGCTGCATATCCTTTTCACTGCTGGAGTGACAGGGCGAAGAAAAAAAAAAAAAAAACAAGAATGGCATGCCATAAATACCATCGCGACAAAGTATCATATGAGCCGGCGCAGAGACAAAGGACTTAATGGGAGACAGTAAAATAGCACAGGTGATAAGTGTCACTGTCGTGTGTGCGCTGATAAACAGGTTTATTTATGCGAGCGGGCAAAAGTAGGCCTCCTTTGGTGTGACGTCTAGAAAAAAAAAATATATGAATGATGTCATTCAGGTGCCAGTGTGGTGGGGCGCAAAAGAAATCAGCTAAGCCCTGACCTTGAGTCACCTCCTTTTTACAGTCTGATTTATCTCGGCCTCAAACGACCTGTCGCAGGAACAGAAGAACGCTGATAACAAGGGGGGGAAAAAAAAGCTTTGAAGGAGAAAACGCATTAACCAAATAATCTCCATTTTGGACAAACACGGTATCATAAAGTGATTTCATATGGCCCCCCCCCCCCCCTTTTTTTTTTTTTTTTTAACTCAGCCTATAAAGTAATACCAGCATGACTCACTAAATTGTCACCGGGCAGCCTTGAGTGTCACGCTACTGTAAAACAAATCGCATATAAGTCTCAACGACCAAACCCTTGACAACAGTCGGCCCTGTGATGTGCAGATAAGCGGGCCGCTTTCATCCTTTAATGGTTGCCGCTCGGTCCACCCAAATGACAACCGGGGCTTTTTATTTACACGCGCACAATTACTGAGCTTATTTTGGCGGGAGACAATCAATAAGCTGTCGGCGCAATAAGCGAAAAGATAACCAAAAAGGCACACGGACTCATTTGGGGGGAATCGGTGGCCGTCGGGAGCGACATTGGCAGTCATTCAGTCACATCAAAAAGAACAGAGCTCATTGTGCGGCGTTATCTTAACTTGGGCAAAATGACGCAACTGCAGAGAGTACCTACCTCTATCTTAAGTGCAAAAGTTTATTTGGGAGAAGGTCTTTCTTTATTCAAATGCATTTTTTTTTATATGGGCGGAGCTGCCAGACTGGAGATTTTTGATTCAATGCTCAACGGATAATTGTTGCTTTGAAATAGTGCCAGCTTATTTATAGGCGTCTATTTGAGTGTCTTAAGTGCAAAAGTTTATTTGGGAGAAGGTCTTTATTTATTCAAATGCATTTTTTTATATGGGCGGAACTGCCAGACTGGAGATTTCGATTCAATGCTCAACGGATAATTGTTGCTTTGAAACAGTGCCAGTTTATTTATCGGCGTCTATTTGAGTGGAGGCTTTTATTTGTAGCCATTCAAAACCTTTTTTTTTCTCAACTTCAGAGGCCATTATTTGAAGGAGGCGTCTATTTGGGAGGAGAACCGTAGACCTGTTTGCATTGACTGTGCCTAAATACTGAGACTTTTTCTCTCTTACTGAAATGCACAGGTGTTTATTTGAAGGAGGCGTCTATTTGAGGGGAGGCTTTTATGAATAGAAATGCTTGTGCAAGGGGTGGAGCTAACCATGCTACCGTCACTTGATCAATTGAGTTAATTGTCAGTGTTCACTCGTGTCAAAATACTGTCTTGTTTCTGAACACCAGAGGTGTTTATAGGAAGCCGGCATCTTTTTTGTGGGCTCTATTCGAACAACCACTTGTAAAAGGGCCTGATTTATCCGGACTGATGTCAGTCGACGGAAAACTGCTTGAATTCACACTGTGAAAATATCGCACTTTTTCCTGTAATAACATGTTTCCCAATCTCCATAGGCATTTATTTAAAGAAGGCTTCTCTTTTGAGAGGAGACCTTTTATAGAAATCTATAACATAAATCTCTAGAAATGCTCATGTCAGGGCGGGACTAGTGTGGAAACTTGTCTGGCTGACAGAATTGAAGGCATTTGGACAATGCCAAAATAACGTACTTTTTTTTTTTTCATGTTTGTCTACTACAGAGGTGTTTATGTGGAAGGAGGCATCTATTTGAAGGGAGGTTTTGAATTTGTAGGAATGCTTAAGTAAAGCGTGAAACTAGCTACACTCCTGCCAGTCAAACAGTTCCCAGATGATCTTTTTTGTGTTGCTCAACGGCAGAGGTGTTTATTTGGGGGGCGAGTCAATTTCAGAGGAGGCTTTTTTGTTTTTTTTTTTGGTTGGATATTTTTCTGTAACGGTTCAACTAGCTGTGTGGCTGTCAGTGAAATTCTTGGTAGGCATTGCCAAAACATAACTTTTTTTCAGTTTCTAACTGCAGATGTGTTTATTTGAGGGGAGGCCTTTATTTACAAGGATTAAAAAAAAACTTATCGTGTGGTTATTTGATTGGTTTACAGCAGGGGTGTCAAGCACATTTTTGTCGCGGGCCACATAGTTATGGTTTCCCTTGGAGGGCTGTTATGAATTTTGGGAAACCATATAAATGTTTCATCACACAGCGCACAAGAAATTGATAGATAACTAGTTTTAAAATCAGAAGTCAAGAATAATGACTGTTATTGTGGATTACATATGACAATTTGAAATTTTGGTTCAGACTTTAGCAAGCATCATGGAACTTGACATGCTTGATTTGCTTTCGCGGGCCACATATAATGATGTGGCGGGCCAGATCTGGCCCCCGGGCCTTGACTTTGACACCTGTGGTATACAGAATTGTAGCCATTCAAAAACTGCCCTAATATTGACGTCTTTCCGTAGAGCTTCTTTCCCACCTGCAGAAGTGATTATTTGACGGAGATGTCTATTTAGCGTTGAGTCTTTTATCGGTGGAAATCCTTGTTTAAGAATGTAGCGAAATGTGCTGCTGTTAGGTGAGGCATTTAATTGGCACCTTTATTTGTACAAAATGCTCGGGTAACAGACACAAGTCCTCAGTGATGAATTGTGGCATGGCATCAATTTGAATTTGAACTATTTGAGGAAGGAGGGTCTCACGTTTTGATTCTGATGGTTACCTGCAAGCCAGGCACTTGCAGTAAATTACCAAATAAGGTTCCTTGCCTGATAAGCGCAAGCTACGACGGCTTCTTGTAAAACGGTCGAAAATGTGGAGGGTCATGTTCAGGTCATGCTAAAGAAAAAGGCCTTAACGTTTACATTCCTCTTTCTCAGATGACATTTTTTTTTTTTGCTCTCATCCCTCACTGAGAAGGCAGCAGAATGAAGGCCGTCACATAAATAAAGGCAGGTGTCAGGTTTCATTTGGAGACGGGCGAGCAGGTCTCGCACACACGCGCACATGTGGTGTAGGTGAAGAAAAAAACAAGGCCGTCATGTTCTTTGAAAAATACATTTTACAAGACAGAAAGTATGGACGGAATGTATGGAAGGCAAAACTTGGCTACCAGTTACACCAGATACCAGCACCAGCAAGTTCAATGCAAAAGAGCACGACGCTTCCAAAACCTCCACACTCCCATGTAAAGAAGTTATTAGGAAAATAAAATCAAAGACAAAATGACCCCCCCACCAAAAAACAAAAACAAAATAAAAAAAAAAAACATGGAAATGAAGCAATGTCTTTTATTTAGAAAAATGAGATACATAAATGACACATTCCCACAAAATATGTTTCATAACAATAAAAATAATACAGAAGTACTCGAAATGTAGTTGGATCCAAATTGAGAGATGCTTAAAAAAATACAAATGATGATAAATTGAATTTTAAAAAATACATTTAAAAAGTATTTAAATAAAAAGTTAAAAAGTGTAAAAAAAAAAAAAGCACAAAATCTCAATTACCATTCTTTACAACATATTTATAAAAAAGGGTTATTTTTAGCTGTAGTTTACAGTGGGAACTTCACTGGATCCTACAGAGAGGCGATTGCTGTATTTCGCAAATAATTGATGCTTATTATAAATGCCTTAGAAAGGCCCCCCCCAAAGAAAAAAAAACTATTCAAGTTTCATTAAAAATGGGGTATAGGTATGAAAACCATATAAGAATGCTGAAGCACAAATATGTGGGCTTCCACCGTATACAGTAATACAAGCAAATATAATAATAATAATAATAATAATAATACCATAATTGCCTTTGTCCAGATCATGTTGATCCGCAAAGGTTGAATTGACTGAATATTAAATTTGCAGTGGATTAATTTTTCATACCCGGAGATGACATTAGCTTCATCGCAGGCATACTAGGAAGCTAATGTCAAGGCTATCGAAACCGCTCGTTTTCAATAACGTGAGCTCAATTTCAAAACATGATCTATCTTAACTTCACCAAAACTGATCAATGATCTGATTTTGGCCCATGTCAAGGTTTCACGTGTTTATGTAAATGTCCGGACTCTTGTACTTGTTCCCATTTGATTGTAGCAGTGTCGCTAATATTGAGGCTAATTAGTGTGTCACATCAAAACAAAAGGCGCCAAGTACTTCCGACACTTCTTACAAGACGTAAAACCAAGTGTGCGCTATGGCAGATGTAGTGGAAACGCTCGGTACGATCAATGCTCACATCTGATTGGTGGTCTCTGTGTCTCTTGAGCGGCTGTCCCACGCTTGAGGTGACCTGGACACAAAGAGCAGCAAAAATCAACATCATGCCATCAAACATCAGTTAAGAACGTCACCATGGGGGTGGACACATGCTTTCATCTGACTGATGTCTCCTTTGAGACTTGTCAACATCTGACCCACTTTTTCGAAGCGAGGTGGACCAGGAAGACGGATTAAAAAATATATACCACATTGGCCCGACTATAAGACGGCCCTGTGCAATCACATTCGTAAATGAATGGCTTCTGGTTTATGAAATGTAAATGACATCATAACTTCTCCTCAGCTGCCGGTTAACCTGGCCGATCTTCGACCCACTTTTCTCCAGATTGTCGCTACGTTTCTCCATTTTCTGTTATCTCTTCTATTATTTTCTTCTTTTCTTTCTTAACGCTATTTTTTATTTTTCTTCTTCGTGCTACCGCTATTTTTATTTTTATTCTTCGTGACAGGGGTTCACGTTGGCCTGCGGAGTCAAGTTCAGCATTTGCTTCAATGATATCTTGCGCCATCTAGCGTCGTGAATGGGTATAATGTCTAGACCCCGAATATAAGACGACCCCACTTTTTCAGTCTTATTTCAATGCAAAAAAACACCGTCTTATATTCGGGCCAATACGGTATATATATTTCATGGTATATACATCCAGATGGGATAAACAACATGGGACAGCACAACATTGCTTTGAAGCGCCTTGTGCCACAAATACTACCAGAAAGTGGTCCCTTGACTTACAAGTTGGATTTGTCCGGTGACTAAGCTCATTAGAGGTGATGACGGAACCAAGCGTCACTTGTAGAAGCTCGCGTTTAACTCCCTAGGTGGCAGTATTGAGCCAGCTGTCGGGATCTCACACCGTAATGAAAACCTGACACGCTTGATCCAAAAAGCAACCTTGAAATCTATGTGGTGAGCATTTTTTTTTTTGTTTTACTCCACATTTTCATTCTCCACAGACATTCAACATGACGACGAAATGGGAATGATGTAGTGGACTATGCTAGGAGGCACCAGCGAGACCATTTTGTTTCAATCTCAAATACTACTTTCAAAACCCTCCCAAAACTGTGACGACACAATGAACAACACTTGATATTATTCTGGACGAGATTCCAAATCACACAATTCCCAGGCAATCCCAAGTCCAAAACTAAATACTAACCTCTTGTTGCGATATGCATCCAGTCCTTCCTGTAGGAAGTTGGCCCTCCTCTGAAGGAAATTTACCTGCAACGGGAATACGTGTTATCAACCATAGAGAAAAAAGTTTTATCGATATGACGGCTTTGGATGGGTTGTGTTTTTTGCTGGAGAAGAGCTGGAGTTGGGGGGAGTCGGTGGGGGAGTAAGTTTAGCAGGCTTGGTGGATAAAAGGCTCGGTTGTTGAGTCCAGGGGTGCCAGGACAAAAGGGTCGGGGGTCATGAGATGAGGCCGCAGGGGTGAAGGCACAAGGGAACGGCGGGGAAGGTTATGAGGCAGGTTCGCCGAGGTGAGGACGTGACATGCTGCCGGCCTTTTGTTGAGCTGCAAAGCGGGGTGCGGGTTTATTTATCAAGTGTCTGGGCTAAAGTGAAAATAAACCCCGGCTACGTTTACAGGCCGGCACGGAGACGCTGGCGCAGCATCAGCCCGCCCCCTAAAGAATCTGTATTGTTCTGACTGGAACATTCCTTTCTGAGATGAGGCGGCAGGGGTGAGTTCGGGGAGGCATCGGGAAAAGATCGAGCATCAAACACCGGCGATGAGCTCCAAGGCCTTCGGATTCTAATTCGTCAAATCCCCATTGAAATGACTTGAAATACAGATTCCGGTATTTGGCGGAATCCAATTCCATGTGCCACAGCGTAATGTACTGTATGAAGAAGTGCTGCATTCATGAGTGAAAAAAAACTCGTATTGTCTTTACGGGAGTTCACCTTGAGGCTTTTTTCAATCCCCTACCCTAACTGGAGTCGCCATGGTAACAAAATGCATACTCGCCATTGACCCAGCTGTATATCACGGAGCAACTTCCCTTCCTTTCACGCTTGTATGGCAATCCGCGCACTCATCCATTCATTGCTTATCCTCACATCAAGAATGTTAAAATGTCCCTTCAAACATGACCCGTAAAGCGATGAAAGGTTTGACAGTGATCCCGCAACGGACAGAGATATACTTTCGGTGGCATCCCATTTAATAGACGTTGACAGAGCTGAAAACGAGATCTTAGCCAAATTCGGTGAGTTAAGGACAGCGTGAAATGGTAACGCTCACGTTCCGTCATGTTATGTAAATGTTGACCACATCAAAGCGCAAACATGCCCGCATCGGTTTCGATGCGCAATCCCGCACGTGTTAAAGAAGGCACAATCGTGCGCGAGCACGCCGCAGATATGCGAAGCATTCTGCCAGCTGCAAGACACGGCGAATTGTGGGATTTGGTTTTTGGCCGGCGAAAAAAGGCTGGCGATGCCCCCGCATTGAACGCTTTTTTTTTTTTTTTTTTTTTTAAATTCGCGTGTGTACATTTTGCAACATTTCTTTCCACTGCATGGATTACCTGTCAATTACGCACTTGCTGGAAGTCTGGGGAGGGCGGTTGCGTTCAAAGCGCCTGAAAGATAATTTCTTTCCTGACATTTGGGAGCGGCGCAATTCCGATGTGAAAATATCAGATTCTTCGTGTATTTTTATTTATTTATTTATTTAGCCTTGACGCATATGCAAACGCAATCAAAATGGTGCCCCGGTCAGCCTCAAAAGGGTAAACAAGCGTATGTGAATGCAAACAACAAACAAAGCGGCCACCTGAGCTTTGAGTGACGTGATGGTGTCCTCCAGTTCCTGTCTGAGCTCGGCGGGCAGCAGACCTTTCATCTTCTCCTCGTACTCCTGACGCAGTGTGGTGACCTGACGAAGGAGGCGTGGCAGAGCATATGAAAAAAAAACAGCGGCTACAAAAGTCTCTTGGTCATCGAGGACATCGGGGGACAGAACTTCATTTTCATACAAAATGGTACGTTTGTTTACAAGCCGATTCAGCGTGGGCCGATTGGTCATGGCTGCGCTCCAATCTGGGGCAGGTTTACAATAGTTGGGAACTTTTCATGAGAGGCTTTATTTCGTTTCAAATTTTGTTGTTGTTGTTGTTGTTTTTTTTTTTTTCAAAGTGAGGAATCTTCCAGCAACGCACACCAGGCATTCCCGACCCTATTCGTAGCTCACAGTGCTTCCCTCCCTCGTCAGAATCCCTTCACATCACCGCAGGGGGTCCCGCACAAGCCAGCACGACACCCCCTGCCGGCTGCTCACGTCTGGCGTCACTAACTCGATGCCACGGAGCATTTACACAACAGAACGCATCAGTGTGGCGACGGCGGCGGCGGCTCTCTGGCAAGTTTTCTCGCAACCTCTCCGCCGGGGGAGGAACTGGAGGAAGTCTGTCTGGGGCTAAATTACATGCCGACCAAACCAGAGTCTGATTATAGAAGCTGAGAAAGGCTTTCTAACCGACAAGCACACATGAATGGAAAGCTTGCCGGGGTTCGCATATAGCAGCAGTGCGCGCAAACACAGGGTTTGAGCTATAAAAGAATCTGCGGCGTGAATCCAGTTGCTGAGTCAGGAATTTTTTTTTTTCCTTTTCCAATTAAGAGCGCAAGTCTGACGTGTGACATGAATGGAGCACCTGCCATGGCAAATTCCTGTAGGTGGAATTGCCAAGTGTCCCGATACTTTCGCCCATATGGCCTGCACTGGTACCTTGACTTGCCAAGTTTAATATCGAATCAACATTTCCCGTTGAAACGAATTGAAATTCTACATAAGCAGAGCTCTAAAAATGAGGGGGTGAATCTCAACTCGCCGTGTCCATTACAAAGGCGAGAAATGACGACACGTTGGAAGTTGGACACGTTGAGGCACGTTTATGAACAGAGTTAAGGGTTGATGGCGGAACGCCTGTGTTGTGATCGTGAGAAAAAGTGTGAGAATAAATTGTTCTGTCCTCAGTGTTCCACTGTTGTGGCCCCTCTCTGTTCTGTTTTTGGTTGCCTTTCCCTTAATTCAGTGTGGGTTGGGCGTCTCCCCAATCATTGCACCTGTCTCTCTGACACACCTGCCAGTCTTCACCTCATCAGCCACACTCACCCCTGCAGCGTAAAGGGACACCCGTTGGAAGTTTGTCAGCTATCTTCCCTGCCGCCTCGTTGTTTACGCTCAGCATTCCCGTACACCTTGGTTTGGTTTCTCTGACTGCCTTTGGTTCCTGCCTTCTTGAACTGTCCCTCTTCCCGACAATAAACCACGACTGAGTTCATTGTGTCTGCCTGTGGCTACGATGCTTGTCTTAAACTAAGCCGAATAAAAAGATGGCAAAGGTAAAGAGATTTTGGTCTCTTTATAATCACTTTAGCTAAACCCCGGTGGAACGAAAAAAGACGTCGTGGACAAGACAGCTATTGTTTGTCGAAAAATATATATTTGGATCGAAAAGAGAGAAAAACATACAGACGACAGTAAAACGTGTCCGTCCGACCTCGAGCATCGTGTCTACTCAACTGGCTAACTTAGCTGTTGTCGTGGCTAGGCTAGCTTAGCTGTTGTCGTAGATCAAAGCTCTTTGATGTGTAACGTCCGTTGCGTCAGCACTGATTGGTTGAAGCCAAAAGACGCGCCCGTGCGTACATGTCCGCGCTGACGCACGCACAGCAGAGAGCAGCCGACTATAGACTGCTGAGTCGCGCCTCGCTCGAGTGGCGTCGCTACAGTGCCCCCCTCCTGGATCCAAAGTCGGCGTAGGCGACGAAGGAAGGAAATCGTAGGAATGACGGAATGATCAGAATAGCCGATAGGAGGGGAAGCGGTTAGGGAAGCATAATCGTCACCCGCTGCGCGTTGTTTGGCTTGATGAAGACACCAGACACGATTTCAGTGGCGGAGTGCTGGGCGAACGGGACATCGAAGATCGAACTCGCGCTGATGCACGCACAGCGGAGAGCAGCGGACTATTGACTGCTGAGTCGCGCTTCGCTCGAGTGGCGTCGCTACAAAGGCCACGTTAAAATAAATAAATAAATAAATAACTGATGTGCTGATTAGCCTTGCCGCTCGAGTGGCGTCGCTACAAAGGCCACGTTAAAAAAATAAATAAATAACTGATGTGCTGATTAGCCTTGGGGTGAGTTAGCGTAGCGATAGAGGGCTCCGTCCTTTTAGCAATTACCCACAATGCACTACGGGCGGCCATATTGGAGGGCTGTTATAAACAAGCCAACGTGTATGGCCCTCTATAGCAAAACGCCAAGTGGCTGTTCTGCTGAACACACGGCCCATTTTTTCCATTTTTGGTCAGAAACTGGAGGTTTGGCGCTTACTTTGTCACAAACTACTTGCAAGATCAGTCAAAATGCTTGGCAATATAATTCTCAACGTCAGAGGTCTGATTTGAAAATGGATAGAAGTGGATGAATAAAATGAATGAATGAAAAATAGCACTGTATGGAATAAAGCATAATGAAACTAAAAAGAATGGACAGAAAGTTTTTTTTTTTTTTTTTAAGTCTAATTACTGTGTTGAACAGACCTTAACCTTGCGACAGCTCGCAGCTCAAAAATCTGCACGGATGGGGCCCCCCAAAAGTCCTGAGTGTAATTGTGTTAAGTGGTCACAATGACAGCAAAAATCCACCTTTCATCAGTCACATCTTTCAAGTGAAGAGCGCATGAGTGAAAAAGATTGCCTTTCCCCCCCTCGAAATCATTTTCCTGTTGTGGATTTAACTGATTGTTCTGGCTTTGGCTAATTAATCTTGGCGGGCACAATACGAGGGATTGGGAAGCACTTCAAAGCGGACCCCTACTCTAAATGATCCCGACATAAAGCAGCTCACTCAAGTCGCTTTTTCCACACTCGGCTCAGCTCAGTTTGGGAAAGTGGGGGCCGACTTGTACGAACTATTCTGATGATACCAGTCATCGATACTAAAAAAAAAAAAAAAAATCTGACATCAAGTAAGTTCTCCTCGGCAGTTTATACCATACTGCTATACAGTGGCAGTCTGACACAGCCGCGAATCATGAACTGCGTCAGAATAGAAACGTCTGTTTTTCTGGCGTTGTTTTCAATGAAATTTCATATCAAAAGTGCAAGGAGTATCGGTACTCGGTATCAGTGAATTCACAAAAAGTGAATACCCTTACTGGTATCAGGGCTGAAAAAAAGGGCCATCCAACATCCCTAATTTTGTGCTTGGACTGACAACTATTTGGAGCTGTTCATAATTCCCTCTGCCTTTTCAAGCCTATGAGAACAGCTGAAGTTTATTTGGAGTTGGTGTCCGCTGGCTCCCTTTAATCAAGAGTTTTGAGTGGTTGACATTGAAAACAGCCACAGCCCCAGTTGTGTGTGTGTGTGTGTGTGTGTGTGTGCACACTATTTGCAGTGGATTATTTTAGATTATTATTTTTTTTATTTAGCTCAACCTCATTTTACATCAAAATCCTGGCCTTTAAACGGGGTGTGTAGACTTTTGATATCCATTCTCCGCATGATTGTCAGTATATCCAGATTCTCAGTATATCTGGCTAAAGCGAAAAATAAGATGGAGAAAGCAGCTTATTTTTTTTAAATAGCAGCACTGCTGCAGCGGAACCATATGCTATGCTAACAGAGGCTAACGAGGATGCTTTGCGGTGAATGTTGGACTTTTCTTGAACCTCGCACCACACAAACATGACAGTAAACTGATGGGGAAGTTTGTCATCGCAAATATTTTCCTTTACATATTTTGAATGCCAGATGAGATGTTTTATTGGATGTTTTATTGAATGACAAGAGGGTGTTGTGTCAGGAAAGGTTTTCATTTTTAGGTCGGACTTCCCCGATCCCCGGCAAGCTTCGATGTGGCTGTTTTTCGCATGATCTTTCCTTCACAAAGCAATTGAACGACAAGCGCCACCTCCAAGAGTCAAATTGAAACACCATTGCGAGAAATACAACAAAGCCACTGTCACGGTTTCCTTCCTTGCAAGTCATAATGATGACGTTAGCTCGGATTTTGTGAGTAAATCTGACTCGAAATATGCACGTCTGCGTGCAAGCGTCGCTCGTTTTGTAATTCCTGCCATTGTTCTTCTGCCAATCAATAATAACCACCGCTGTGCGCAACTGTAACCAAAACAACTATGCCGCCTTTGGTACCATCATATAATTAATATGATTGCTGCTCTTGGTAGACAGTTATGATAACAAGCACTCGGCACAAAAGAAACAACCAACCTTATTTGACGTACTCCATAAAAATGTCCATAAAAATTTATTTACCATCATCCATTCATCCAAGATAACTTTCTTCACCAAATAAATGACGTTCAACACATACCAAACCGAACCAGAAACCATGACAACCGAACTGTGATATGAATTATTCCTAGTGAGTATTCAAAGGGGAAGGTATAATTTTGCTCTTTTGTGCCATGAATGTACAGTCGATGTTGGCGATAAGACTGGTGACTATTAACGTGGACGTGTCCAGGGGTGCCCAACTCCGGTCCTTGAAGGGCCCCCATCCTGCATGTTTTAGATCAGGGGTGTCAAACTCAATTTAGTCGCGGGCCAATTTGGAGTTACGTCTTCCCTCGGAGGGCCATTATGACAATGAAACCACAAAATTATTACTTGTAGACAACAAATTAATATATTACTAGTTTTGAAATTAGTCAATTATAATAGTTTGTTCAATTTTTGTTCAAGTGAGTGTAAACTGGGTAACAAAATTATTGCGAAATCTCAACGTTATTTATTAAACATGACAATTTCACATTTTGGGACCGATTTTAGCAGGTTGACACACATGATTTGCTTTCGCGGGCCACATAAAACGACCTGGCGGGCCTGATCTGGTCCCCGGGCCTTGAGTTTGACACCTGTGTTTTAGATGTTTCCCTCCTCCGACACACCTGACTCACATGATTGGCTCATCAGCAAGCTCTAACAAAAGCCTGATCAAGATCCTGTGTTGGAGAAAGGAAAAACATCGCAAAGCTGCTGGATCGGGGCCCCTGGAGGACCGAAGTTGCCCAACCCTGGACTCGACGAAACCGCGCTTGTGAAAAATCAAGAGCAACTTTTGGTGTATCATGACAAGACTTTTGGATCAAGGCAAAGCAAGACGTGTGATGCCATTCCCTGAAGCTGTCAACTCCACGATTTCGACGGCAGCCCTTTTTCAAACGTAGCTAAAGTTCCTGATCAAGTGTGCGATTGCTATTGTTTTGAAGACTGCTCTGACGAGCGCCAGTCATATCCCCCGCTCAGCCATCCGGAAATTACAACATTTCATCTAAATATAGTCCTCAGATGGTGGTGCCCCGTCGGTACTGTCACGCGCCATGTTTTTTTTTTTTTTTTTTTTTGACAGCTGCCAGCGGAAAGGAACAAGCCCGCAACACTTTCAACGTTCAAGTGAAGTTTGTCACGTCGTCGGGAAGGTTGATGTATGCTAATGAAGGTGTGTCTAAGTCGTTGCCAGGAAGACATTTTTGCGACACGGGTGACAAAGAACCTTGTCGGGAACAAGGTGGTACATCAAAAATGACGCCACTCACAAAGTTTGCACCTCCGCATACTATGAGTCGGTAACGTGAGTTCACCGAGCCGTGATTTGAAAGCCGCCTTGCTGAAAGAACTTCAGAAGTAAAAAATATGAAAATGCCGCTTCAGATCTGGCTGAGGGTGTGGGAAACGAACAAGGTGCTTCCCAAATTTTATTGAGGCAAGGCTGGGTGCCTTTGACATGAGAAGAATCTCACGGTGCAGATGTTACAGTCATTAGAAACCTTCAAACAACTGCGACTTTAACACGCGTGGTTCAGCAACACATACAAAGAGAGTTTGGGGAACAAGAAGTATCCAACCATCCATCCATCCATCCATCCATTTTCCATTCCACTTTATGCTCACAAGGGTCGCGGGGGATGCTGGAGCCTATCCTAGCCGTCTTTGGGCAGTAGGCGGGGGACACCCTGAACTGGTTGCCAGCCATTCGCAGGGCACACAGAGACGAACAACCATTCATGCTCACACTCACACTGAGGGACAATTTTTTGAGTGTTCAATCAGCCTGCCATGCATGTTTTTGGAATGTGGGAGGAAACCGGAGTATCTGGAGAAAACCCACGAAGGCAAGGGGAGAACATGTAAACTCCACACAGGGAGGCCGGAGCTGGAATTGAACCTGGTACCTCTGCACTGCGAAGCCGACGTGCTAACCACTGGAGCACCGGGTCGCCAACAAGAAGTATTTCAACGGAAAAAAAAAAAAAAAAAATTGGTATTGTATGATGCTTACGGTCAGCAATTTTTAATTCGGACTTGCCTGTCTGTGTATTGTAAAAGCCCATCAAAAAGAATCACCTCAAAGTATGTGAACGGGGTACAAGACCAAGGCTGCCAGAAGTCTTGATGGGACCGTCTTCAAGGGGTCCGAAAACAGAATGAGCCGCCACTTTATGTGCAAAGTCTGCACCTAAGACCCACTTTTAACCTCTTGCGCATCCGATTCAAAAGACGCGATATCGTTGTGTGGCGTTCATTATAAAGCAACCACAGAAATCAAGTGAGACACATTTTAATGTGGCGAGGCCTGTTTCGCACCGAGCAGCGGTGACGTTTTCGGCGACAATGACAAGTGAAGGTTGGCCACCAAAACAAAGAGAAAAAGACTTTCGAGAGACAAGGCAGCTCTGGTGGCCAAACAAAAGAAAACAACATCAGAAACATTTTCCCTGAAGACATGCAGTTGCAAGAAAGTTTGAGATGGATGCACATTTCTCACTTCCCACAGTGCATAGCAGCTCCTTTGCAAGACAACAACAGTGGGCAATGAAATGAAGAGAGACAGAAGTCAGAACTGACACCATCAGAAAGCACCATTCCTATTTTTATGACATCACAATTTCATTTCGTTTCAATATTCGTGACCACTTGCATTGCAGCCTTGCTGCCCACACGGCCAGACGCCGTTCCGACGAGAGGAGCATCCATGATGCCACGCGTGGCGTTGACAAACGTGGGCGTGATTGTTTTCGACTTCATTCCGAAGGCTACGAATTGTAACCAAAACTGTCACTGAGACAATAAGCGTATGTTCGGAGGCAACACTTTCTTTGCCCCTCTGCCCAGAAATAACAAAGACTTTCCTCAAGAATTATTTCGCCGTTTCAGAAATGCCTCACAAACTCTGAAGTGCCACGTTTGCCTCAGCCAATTGAGTGGAGACGTTTAACAAGCGTCGTGAGAATTTGACATTTCACGCCTTCACGTACTAATAAACAAAAGTATATGCACCATGCGCCAGATAAATGGATCGATCATTTCGATAGCGATTGACGTCTCCTGAATTTTTTTTTCCTAGAGCATCAGCTTTTCAAGATAAGATAACCTTTATTTGTCCCACACTGGGGAAAAATGCAGTCTACAGCAGCAAAATTGGGGTGGGGGGGTTCATTGCCCAAAATAAATGTTTCAGAAAAGAACTGTACACAGTTCAATATAAGTGCAATATAAAATATAGCATTAGCAATATATTTGTCGAATAAATTTGAGATATTTTCATTTTTTTTTGTTCTTTGGATTGCCCTACAAAAGCTTGCAGAATGCGAATTTTACCAGGCGTCGTCTTTATAGCTATGATGCTTCTGGAAAAAAAAGAAATAAAAATGTCCACCTGTTGCGAAACCCAACTCTTATTTTATAAATATGACCTTTCTCGCAGTCTTCTGCATCCGACTAAAATTCACAAATGCAAACATGAAAAGCGTCCCTGAGATTAAAAAAAATATATAGCATGATTAGCACTCGTCATTCTTCCCAAATCGGAAGAGGGGACACTCTCCCTTCCTTTGTGCAAATTTGTGACGACGCAGACAAGTGAGGTGTGTGACCAGTGTATGAAGTGTGTACAAGGGTCAATGGGCAGATCAGAGGTCGTGGTGGTGGTGGTGCTGGGGGGGGGGCAGACGACGACGGGTTGGGTAGGTCGGCGAGAATGAATGCCTAACGGGCGACAATGAAGAGCCCTCCTGTGCGAGTATAGTCATTAGCGCTATCTTCTCAGTGTGTCAAGGTCAAAACGCAGCCTGATTACAGGGCATTCTCGAGTGTGTGTGTGTGTGCGTGTGTGTGTGAGAGCACACAGGCTTCCCTCTGAACACAGGCCGCGGTGGCGTTCTTGGCCCTAGGCGCTCTCTCTCTCCCTTGAAGCCAAATCTTCAAGAATATTGGGAAATGCGTGAGGGGGCATTTCTTTGGCCGGGAAATGGAGAATGACGGTGGAGTCACGGGGGATCGGAGGCTATTGGTGTGGAAACCAAGAAGGGAGAATTTGTTCCGTGTGTCTTGTGTAACCTTCTGTAGTGTCTGCTAAGGATAGCGACTGCTGGGACGTTAAATAAGAAGCGTGACGATGTGACAGGAGTGCGTCGGGCGGCGGGTGACGCAATGTTAAGCCGGAGCGACTGACGCGGAGGCCTCGCGTGAAGAAAGGCAGATGAGGGGAGCGTCTGATTACCTTCTCTTCGCTCTCCAGCTCTTTGCCGAGCAGCGCCTTCTCCGAGCTGCGCAGCTGCCTCTGTAGACTTTCCACCTTCTCCCGCAGAGCCTGCGGGAAGGCAGAAGACAAGTCAGCGCTGTCGGCAGGCTGATGGAACATCAGCTCCAGATGTGCGCGTGTCTGTGTGGCGCAACGTGGAGCTGACGCAGGATGAGGCTATGTCGGCGCGATATGAACCAGGCTGCTGACTGAGACAATGACAAAAATGGTTGGACATGGAGCTCCCGATGCACAATTGGGATTTAGTCAAAATCCTTCCTTGAGGCCCCTGTTTTTGCTCCCGTGCGAGTCACCGAATTGCCGCTGAACAGTGCCGCAGATGGAAGAGTCATTCCAAAATGGGCACGAAAAACTGAAACACATTTACCCTTCTGTAAACAAGAAACACTTTATAAATAATAATACCCACGTAGACATTATCTCACCAAATGTAATAACAATGAATAACACTAATTAAAGATTCATAATAGGCTACATTATGTTTTTCCGAACAAAATTGTTTCTGGTTTTAAATATACAAGACCCAGCAGCAAGCAACAAGCCCTACAGATACAAAAAACGTATTTTTCACGCGCACCGTATTAAAAGGCGCATGTGTCAATTACGGGTGCTATTTCTGTATTTCATACATACACAAGACGCACCACATTATTGTACGCAGGCATGGTAAAATGTATGTTAACTTAAAAAAGTACGCTAGCATGAATGCACGCTAGCGTATGTTTTTAAAAAGGCAACGGGAGCAAAACGGAATTAGGTTGTACTTCATTCATGTATTTAACAATTGACTAATGATATTTTTGGATCAATCCTTACAATCAAATCATTTAAAGTCCTCATCTTTTGTATCCGAAATGAACAGCTTGATACGTTCTCTATAGAACACGCTAGGTTCCCTCGCGTCATTGTCAGAGTCAGTCTCGTTGCTGTGCGGCTCCTCAGAAACGTTCCCGGCTTTTTTCGAAAGCTCGAACAATAGTGCAAGCAGACACCGGAATTATGGCAAGCTCTGAGTTCATTAGTTTTTTCACAGCGGCCGTGAGATGGCAACACATGAAGGCACAAATCAGCAGGGACGCTAAGGCGTGGAAAATAAAACATCCGGTCTCGGAGCGTAAGGTAGCCTGCTTTTCCTTGTGGTCCGCCGTTAAGTCCTTGCCCGGATGGATAGTTGGCGCCGTTTCATAAAATGAAAGTACGATGACGGACCTCCTTGAAAATGTTCGATTTTAATTCCTTCTGCAAGCATTTTTGCCCTCAGTCGAATGATGACTGTAGAGACGCGTCTCCCGGCTGTTCTTTGACTGTGAATCCGTTACCCGTGTTGGTCTTCCAACTCGGGCCGCCTCGCCTTGTTTCCGCAGAAACTCAGCTTCGTCTTCTTGAATTGGCGAAGCTCGTTTTCCTGCTTCCTCCACTTGCGAACTATGGATTCGTTTATCTTCGTAACTGATCGCTTGAAGTTTGAACTGTTTCGTTGCCATGTGTCTTCATAGGTGCCATTTTCTGCGTTCCGAAGTTGTTGTTCTTAGCGTCCTCTTTCACGTTCACCCTTCCCCTTTCACATCCACATGCCGTCCTCAGTTATGTCCGCCTTTGCTCTATATATTCCGCTCACGAAATATTCCTCTGTATAGCGTGTCTGCATGACATCAAACAGTCAAGTGGCGCGCTCACCAAAGTCACACAGCAACATTCAGAGATTTCGGAACTCGGTGCATAGATTAGATGCCTCGTCCATTTTGTAGAAAACGTAAGACTTTGAACTCAGTCACTCCCAAAGACGTTTTTAAACGTCTTTTCAGACTTGGTCCAGAATTGGCTGGTACTGGATGAGTTTTAAGTGCGCCCTATGGTCGTGACAATACGGTATATAGAGATTGTGTTTTGAGAGAAGACTTAACTATATTTATTATTTTGTATGAATATGGGGGAACAAAGCAAAGGAGAGAGTCTCAGTCGCCTAAATGTCATCCGCTTCTTCCTTGACAGCCCCGCCATGTTTTTGTGGTTCAATTAAAAGATAAAACAAAGTCTATTGCATGCAGAGCCTCAAAAAAAAAAAAACGCAAAAACCTTTTCCTGTTACAGCATGGCGGCAGATGTGTGCTGCTCAATGGCTTGGTGTTGGGCTATTCTCCCATCAGCAGATATTCCTGACACAGTTGCTTGTGTGAAGATGTTGGTTTTGTTGTTTGTTGAGCTTTTCGCGTGCGCAATTACAGGCTGCTCTCGAGTGATTTGGGTGTGTATTGGCAGGAGACGCTTGCTGTTTTCTGTTCTCGTCGGAACGCCGTTTACTGCGGTCAGATAAGACCCCTCCCCTAAACAGAAGCATCGATACAGGAATTGGAAGTGGAGGTAGGCGGGGGGAGGAAAGGCATCTCCGTTGCAGCTAGATGAGCTTGAACGCAACAAGGTTGGAACCGTCCTGTATTTAATTGCCTAATAGGATAATAGCTGTCAAAGAAAGGCAGAAACAAAGCAAGTGATCAAACCCAATTGCTTCCTCTGTGTTGACGGGTAATAATTATATCATAAAAGTAATTACGGCAAAGCTGACCTCATTACGTTCTTTTTAAAGACGAGGGCAGAGACTTTCTCACTCTGGAGGATTAGCCAACTTTCCGAGACGCCGCGAAGCCGATCATTAATGGGATTGTTATAGATTGATATTTGAGAGGCAATAAAAGCGAGGCATCATCTCGCATTGGTTCCAAGAGCTAAGTTGATTACATTCCCCAACTGGGCGGCGGCTTCAATCATTTTGGCTCGTCCGAAATTCCGACAAGGAGAAGAGAAAAAGAACGAGAGAGGAAAGAAAGTCAATAACGCACAGTTGTGTGAATGGAAAGAATGGTGCAGTTTGTGCGTGAAACACAGAACCAGATGTTTGGAGCGCACATGTGGACACTTCATCTTTGATTATTCTGGTTGAAAAGCAGAGAGTGACAGGTGCACATGTGCGCTGCACGCACGTAGCAGCGCCAAGCGTGTGTCTCAGGGTGGAGCGGGCTGGGGCGGGGGCACCCCAGCTTCAATAACCTCTGCGTGTGTCTTGCCCCTGTTGGAGTTGAGTGAACAAGCCAGGTGTGAGTTGATTTCTGGTGCGCCCCGGGGGGCCGAGGTGAGACGCATGAGCGGCAAATGCTCAAGCCATCGCGCTCACACAAATCACACGGAAGTGTGCGTTTTGGGCTTCGGGGATGGAGCTCTCTTCAAAACGACCGTGCGGCTTCCGATCCACGAAATTGAAGAGTTGACAGACGAGGGTTGACTTCCAAGTTGGTCTAATTTCCAAACGATTTTCCATATTTCAACGTAAACGCGGCAGGCAATTCCGATCTAACGTTTGAATATCCCTGTTAGGCAGTCAATCTCACTACATCGAGAGAGATTTGCTGGATGTAACTCGTTCGCTTGAAAACTTGAACTTACTGTTGTGCTTTCTGAAACATTCCGAAGAACCATTTTACATGTGCGTAAGCGGACGGAGTGGGTCACATTAACCCTTTCATGCACCCTGAAAACCTGATAACATGATAAGCTGTCCACTGTAGTAAGTATCCTCCTAAAAAAAAAAAAAAAAATACTCAGCCGAGTACCAGTATCATGACCAATATTAAATCAGAGCAGCGTAGTTCAGAACAAGAGAGGTTGGAGTGCTGAAATTTGATTTAACCCTTTCGGTGACTACAGTGGACAGCTTATCATGTTCTACATAAAGCAACAAAAAAAATAAAGTGACTTAAGATTCAATTAGAATCTATTGAATGAGAAATGTGAAGACAAATTTTCACCTAAAGAAATATTTAAAAACTAAGGGTTCTTAAAATGAAATGCAAACGTCTCGAAGTTCAATACAGGCGCTCCCCGCTTTACGAACTTTCGTGTTGCGAACAACGGTACATACGAACATTTTTGCGGATACAGGTATGTCGAAAAATGTTCTCGGACAGAGATGCTGTCAGTTAGATTTTGTATTGCGCGCCTTTTTCCGAGTACTGTAGTACTTCTTTCCACCACTAATACCGACGTGAGGCGCTGTGAGAGGAGGAGGAGGAGGAGGAGGAAACGCCTGTCCCCATGAAGAAGTTCGAGACGGAACTCTCTCCCCCTCCATCATCTCCTGAAGCCTTCGAGTACATCTTCCAAAAGTAAGTTAAGCTTCATTTTATTATACTTATATAAACCTTAAACATACGTATATAAGCCTTAAACATGCATTCCATACAAAATATAGCACTGAAGCAACTTACGTACGAATTCAGCCAACGAACGATCCTTCGGAACGTATCTCGTTCGTTAGCTGGGGAGCGTCTGTACAACTCAATGGTGCCTCGGTGGTGATTCTTTCGCTAACCACTAGAGGGCGCTTGCATAATAACTAAATAAAATTCAAAGCAAAAAAACACTCAAATCTCTGAAAACGGCAGTGTTTTTTAAGCATCCCTGTACCCTGGTGACATTTCGTTGTGTTTTTACAGTGGTACAAATAAAATGTGTATTTGACTGACATTTAAAGAGTTGAACTGAGCAGCCATTTCATGTCCTGGGGCTATAATTTCCCTCTTTGCCATCACTTAAAAAAACAAAAAACAAGAACACAATTGTTCATCTCGCTGAATATTTGGAGCGGATGATTCCACAATTTTAAGTTCCAGCACCAAAATGTCCAATGCTTAAGCCGTTTGACTTTGGTTCTGCTGTACTTGGTTAAAAAGGAAAACCACAAACAGGCGGCACATTTGTTGTGAGTCATACTTTGTCAAGGCCAGAGTCAAACTTCACATGACAGTTTCTGTTTCCATGCGCCATCGCTGTCTTTTGATCATGAAAAACACACACACACACACACACACACACACACACACACACGCACACGCACACGCACACACACGCGCGCGCGCGCGCACACACATTGTGCCTGCTGTCCTTCCTCCCAAGCAGTGGAGAGTGAAAAACACATTGAGATTCATTTCCAGATCAACAGACCTCATTTAAAAAAAAAAAAATTAAAAAAAAGGAGCTGCTGTTCGCCGGCTTGA